GCCTTCATTTTATGTTGCCTCGGGTCGCTCCTTCACTTGATCTCGTATGAATGCATTACCTCATGCGAGATCATGCAATAACCCCTCGCCACTCGCTCGATCCGTTGAGCTTTGTGGGATTGTTGTCTTGAGGTACTCCTCCTCAACATGTGCGGTCCATTGTACATTATTCTCCCTTTGGAGAACCGAGACTTATCCCTCCAAGGTATTTGTCTCATTGGAGTAACTTCTCTCTTCGCATCCTTCCTTCTGGAAGTTTCGGAGACCACCATCCCCTTGGACTACTCTGCTTTGCTAAACAAACTATGCATTGTTCTACCCCCGCAAATGCACTTGCTAGATTACGACTCCACGTCAATACAGCCCATGCTGCACCCCTCAAGGCCTAGCAACATGCTGAACTCACTGCACACTTCAACCTCCTACGGACATATCCTTCTCATGCCGAAGAAAAAGTTTCAATACTCCATGGCGCCGAGTTTCGGTCGCCTTGGGATGACCACGAGCATTCCATCGTCCGGATACAAGCCCTTGCATGAGTACCGAATTCTTCGAGTTAGCAATTCCCCTCATCTCTGTGAGCTTTGCACAACTCTTTCGGTCACTGAACAACTCATTCCACCTTACATGGTCTCATCTTTTACCAAACGTCTCGCTTGCCTTGAGCACTATTAAGTATGGTTGCCAACGTCGAGCTGTAGCTCAAACTCAGCCATCCTAACCTTTGTGCGCTATGCATTCTTCCAAGCTTGCTTTTCCTCGTAGTGCCTCTTGTGCAAAGGGTTGGTCATTCCTTTGAATGTCAATCTCAGATGCCCGCTCCTCTGAACAACTCTTTTTCCCTACATCTCCATGCCTGTTTCCCCCGAACAGTCGTGCGTGCAGGTTGCCCTCAACGTAGCCCTGCTAGGTCCCCCACGTTTGCATGTCAAGTGTTTCTGTGAGTGCTTGTCCCGTTCTAATACTATATGTCACGTACTTCGCTAGTTTTGCCTAAGTCGTGCAGCACCCTTGCGTATCCTTCCGCAAAGGTCAGCCTTCCCGAAACCTCCTATGGTTCTTTACCCGAAACCTCCTATGGTCCTTTAGGACCTACAAAAGAGAAAACGGGTTAGAAAAAGCATCTCACTCGGGATCCACGAGCAATCATGTCAATAAACACTTCATAGCCAATGCAAATTACAAACATGCTTCATAAGCTATGAACGATCGCACAACAAAGGGTCCAAAATGGTTTATTACAGACCGAAATCTCCCACAAGTGTTCACATGACACAACCTTTATTTACAAGCCTCAAACGGCCACCAAACCTAACTAAAATGGGGCTATTAAGCCTTCGACCGTCCATCTACATATTGTGCAAAACATGAACAAACCAAAAGACACGGACATACATAAGCATTATATCAAACACCCCGTCTACAATTTTGTCTGTGACAGAACGTGGGCTGATATGTAGACCATCCCCATTTCTGCAAGGCCAATCAAAATTATAAAAAATCAAAAAAAGTAGTGGGGCCCATCCAACTTGGCATTAAAAAAAGAAAAAAAACCAAATAAAGGCTCATGAACATGAGCCCTCTTCTTGTGTATGATGTTGCTGCCATTGCTGCTGTCGTTCATGATGTCATTGCTAATGTTGTTGGCACCGCGTTCCTTCTTCTAAGCAAGGTTAGCCATACCGAGGTTAGGTGTAATACTCAGTACGGGCAATCAGTACTAGTCCAACAAGGGATCGGCATACGGACCGTCTATACCGGGTGGTAGCATTACATAACGCTGTATCGAGTGATATAGGGTCTGTACCGGTTGGTAACAGTCAAAATCCGATCATTACCAACCTGTATCGATCGATAATGGCTGGATTTTGACTGTTACTGATCAAGGGTTGAGATTGCTCTGCTTCAAATGGTCAAATTGACTATTTGAACCCTAAAACCCTTTCCTCTCCCCTCTTTCAACTCATTTTACTCTCTCAATCAAGTCAGACTACTAAAGGAACCAAAGACACCCAACCATCATAGTCGTCCGCCCAGCATGTAAAGGCAAAAGCAAAGAAGAAGGCAATACCATCAACCGCACCATTGGAAAGAATTAATTCGGATGACGAGACACCTCAATCGCATTCAACAACCCGCTCGGTCCAGAGACATGGCAGTGACGTGGACAACAATGCCTCGATCGATAATGGCAACAATACCGAGGAGTCAATGGTCTCAGCTACATAATTTAAGGGTGGTGCATTGATCGAAAAGCAATATTTTACATATACCACCCAAGATTTAGATCATAGAGCTCGACGATATACTAGCCAAGTTCATACACGAAAGGGGAAGGCAATACATCATTTTGAGTAGATGCGACAAAGCTTACACGACATAGACACAAAACAAAGCTCATCGTATTCACAGTCGTCATATTATGGAGAATCTTATGGCCAACAGCAATACAATGATCGATCGTATGATATGAAGCAATAGATTAATGGCGAAAGTAGAAGTTCTGACATTCTCCATGCTCCGCACTAATACATACCATAATCATCCTTGCCTTAGGAGCTGCCTTGGACACTTGTGGTTCACGACGATCAGACTATGATCATCACCACATTAATGCATCAATGGCATACGGTGTATCAGTATACTATATCGTGGGATCAATTTCATCATTAGGCCTAACAAACATATCAAATTGATATATAGATACATAAACTCGAGGACCTCGATCCAGTGCCCGTAGAGTCCTATCATTAATTTTGATGGAAAAATCAGGTATATCCATCGATTAATTACTTGATTCATTTGAATCTTAAAGTTTAAGTTGTTTAAAGAATAGTCTAACAATTCAAATCATTTCTTTGTAGATAATTTAATAGTAACAGAAGGATGGTTTGGAACATACCACAAAGCTACTCCTCAAAGCTCGAAAAAGATATGTCATTATTCTTTCCTAATTAGACTATGTTTGCTAAAATTATACTAAATTTATATTTATTTTTAACTTAATAACCCTAATTTAATTTTTTTATTTTTCAAAAAAATTTTGAGTTATTTTCGACTAGTTTTTGTGTCATCGATACGCCTCATCATATCGACACACGATACGTTAATATGCCTCGGTATGTACCATACTGATGGTTGGTCAGTACACTAATAGGGACCAATAAGGCGAACCTTGCTTCTGGGTATACTCTCGTCTCTTCTCCTCTTCTTCCTTCTTCTTCCTGCACCGTTTCCACTAGTACATACCAATGTACCATGTGTCGGTATGTTAGTACATACCAATCCGATAGATCACTGAAATGGGTTCGGTACCCGAAACGACGATCCTTGGTGTTAGGAACTACACCCCCTAGCCTTCGTAAGACTGGCTTGAAAGAAAGATAACCATTTTGCTACTGGTATAATAAAGTAAAATAACAAAGAAATAGACTAGAGAGTCTTGCAAAGCTTATTTGCAAGCTTTCTGTCAATCTGATTATAAGTAGCTTAAGGAGAAAGGCCTAGAAAATACTATTGTTTCCTCTCTACTCAGCCAGCCAAACTTCCTTTATTGATTGTTTGTTTATTGATGTGTCTGTTGGAGACCTCAACGCCCACTTCGATTAGGATGATCAGGCTCTAGCGCCTTCTAGTCCTGGATGGGAACTGGCAAATCAAGACTTCTCATTCTGTTATTTGTCAGGCTTGAGTCCTAGTCTGCTGAGACAGAAAAATTTCTCAACCCAGTTTGCAGGGTTAAATGGACCTTCTGCTGTTGGAGGCTCCCAGATGGGTCCGAGCTGAGCTGCTGCTTTTGTTGCTGGACACCTCTGGCCAGACAAGACTGTTGCAGCAGCTGACCTTATCCATGGCTTATAGGAGCTGTTGACTGATTAAGATCATCATAATTGATAAAAAGATAGGGGAATAACATTATTGATAAAAGCCCATGACCAAGAAAACTCCATTCGTTGATGATAAGAATTCAAATAAAGATGCTAGAAGAAAAATAAAGAAAATATGAATCAAACTCAAAAGCTTTTAACAAACTTAAACAAACCTGAATTTAACTAAGTCCTGGCTACTTGTCCTATTATTACCTCCCTTTGATAGGATAAAGTTTATCTCAAGATTTATATACCACTAATCAAATTCTTGTTATTTATTATATCTTTGATCAGTAATATGCATCTTAACCATACCAAGTTGATGTTGTTGTCAGTATCACCACGATGCTAATTGCTAGCCATAAAACTTCAAATCCCTCCATGCAAAGACAATAGATGATAACAAAACTCAAGATGTCAGTAATTTATAGATACCAAGATCCAGTGTTCTATACAAGAACCACAACTGGTCTCCCCAACATGGATCTGCAATAACCCTCTTTTTGGATGCTTCTATCTCCAATGAACTCTGAGATATTGTACTTGCTCCAAATTGTCTAATTAAAGAAAGTTTCTTGTTCTATCAGGATGTAAAAAAAATGTCAATCCATACTCAATGTGTTAGCCCCATATCACAAAGCACAGCTATATGTGAAGACATTCTACGGACCTTAATAAGCTGAATATTTTATGCAATCCTCTGTTGCACAACATAAACTCTTGAATACACTTCCTAAGTTTTATATCATTGTTATTGTTCCTTACTATTTGGAACTCTTTAATGCATGAAGAAGGTTTTTAGCTTCAATAAAGCTCTCATCACACTTTCTAAAAATCTCAAGGATAATTTTGATGGTTGTCGTCAAAGCAAACAACCAATTTGTCAATCATGTACCTTAATTTCTACAGCATGTTCTCACAGAAATTAAGTTAAAAATACATAGAAAACAACTACTCAAACAAATGTGTGAACTACAGAGGTGGTACCAAAATGAGGTTGTTAAAAGAAAGATAACTTGCACAAAAGCATTTCAAAGGTCAATAGATGCAAAGATGAACAGGAAAAGGGAATATATTAAAAAAAGATTACCATACAAAAGAAAATAGCACAGGAGTATAACTTCTTAATACCTTCCACGGGCCCCAATGGAATATTTGCATCTTCAAGACCTACAAGAACATGTGAAATGATAAATGACGAGAATACAAAACAATAAGGTAAAGAAGTATGTTTATTCATGTTGCTTATTCATAAGTACAGAAAAAGCATAATGTAATTTCAAGACTAGTTAATGTGCTAGTCATGGAAATCGAAAAAATATCAATTTTCAGAAAAGAAAATGTGTTTGAATAAGAGCAAAAAGGAGAAAACTTTGCAGCATAAATAGAGAATAGACCTCAATTTAGTTGAGGAAACAGTTACCTTGGCATTTTGAGGAAATATACCATAACCATAGGTAAGTGATTCCAAATAATTAGATGTTGCATTCTGTCTTATTTAAGCAATATACAATCATCTGGCCATCTGTACAATATTACTAGTTAAAATCCATAGTTTAAATGCCTCATGTTAATTTCTTGATAAAGTAACCATGATAGACAGGAGACTTTTCTTCAATGATTACGTCACGAAGAAGAAGAATTCTGAAGATGAGTAAAAGCCAACACACAGAACCAATATATTATTGAACTAGCCACATAGTCCATTGAGATGATAAAAGAATCTACTAAACAAATACCATACCAATGTCAAGAACTATCCAATTACAGCTGATAGATATCTTTGAGCTTCATTCCAGCCACAATGGCTTGGGACAAATTTTAGCAGGCATAGGAAGTCTCACCAATCAATGATGCGAATTAGGTAGCTCGTCCAACCCTCTTGCCAAGATTTTCTAAGTCAATGAAAGCTGCTTACCTTAAAAAAAAGGCAAATTCTATTCTATTTTCAATAGAATCACTCAGGAATCAGACATGACACAATATGTCAAGAATATAATTCAATATATCTCTTCTCCTCTATTGGCTTAAGCTTTTACATGGAATGATGATGATCAACAATTAGCCATTGTATCAGAGTGGAAACCTTGTATTTGAATCATCCCACCCCAGGTCAGACTTAGAAAAAAAAAAAGTCATCCCTGACCAATTCAAGTTCCATGTAGTGAATTTGGGTCAAGCTTCAGACGGAATGACAGTGATAAAAATTTAACATGTCGTATGAGTTTTTACAATTTGTAGTTGTGAAAATGGTTGGCATTACAACAAGTGCTGTTCATGTCTGGAGAGCTAATGGGGTGACTGATGAGTCGTAGAAACATGTGGAGCAAAGTGAGCAAGCCTTAAAAACAAAAGGCAGCCCCTTACATAAGTGAAGAAGCTATGCTCAGACACCTTGCAAAGACACTGAGCTAGGAAGATGAAGAGAAGACAAATTTCAAAGATCAAAATTCCATGTTCATCAAATAAATCTGTCAATGCACCTCGAGAATTGAACAAAAAAGAATCGACTCCAGTACCACCATTCCAAATTGTGATCTCGCAAACAATTAAGAACATATTAAGTCCAGCACTGGAATCTGAAAGGGGCAAGAAAATGGCACCTTTATCAGGAAAGTGCAGGTAGGCATCAACCTTGGACGCCGCAGAGCTCTTGAATCCGGCCTTCTTGCTCCTCTCCTTGAGTAACTCATCGAGTTCCTTGTAGTACGACATCTTCACCGACCCACTCCCTTTGATCTGGTGCTTCGCCTTCTTGAACTCCTTCAGCAAGTTCCTCCACTTATCGGTGCACATGGTGGGCGACCGGTCGAACCCTTTCTCCCGCATCTTCGTCGAGATCTGCTCCCACAGATGCCTGTTCGACTTGGAGGTGTTGAAGAGCCCATCTATCTCCCGCCGGAGCGCGATGAGGCTCTTCGTTTCCTCTTGGATCCACGTCTCCGCGCGCTTCTTGGGCGCCCTGACCTCATGGTCCTCGCCGCTGCTCTCCGCCAGAATCATCTGCGGCGGCGGCGGCAGTCCGCCGTTGTAGAAATCAACGCCGCAGGGCTTCTCGGTTGAGTACATTCTCCTTGCCGTCGCGACCGCCGCGTCTTCGCCGATGATGTTTGCTCGGCTGTGCAAGGATCGGGAGAGGAATTGGTCTAGGGTGAGGAGAGACATCGCGGAGGAGGTCCAAAACCCATGTCTCAGAGGTAAAAGGTGGGATTTTTATGGTTGCTGTCTTTGTCTCAGAGAGGGGAATGGGGGAAAAGAGAGTGGAAGAGCAGCATGGGGACGGGGAGGATAAGATTTGGGGAAAGAATCTCGGAGATCACCATTGATAATAAAAAAAAGAAGAGGGAAGGAACTGAAGCAGTGGGGGAGTGTGTTGGGGTCATGGGAGCACCAACCAGTGAGTGAGACTTTTAATGTTGTCTCGATGTCTGTTGGCCGAGTCCTGTTCAAACAGACCCTCAACTCCGTGGCCTTATCTCAACCAATTAAACTTGCATTGCCTTGGTCTCACCGTGCAGCGTTATTCTAAAAGCTGGGCTTAAACATTGTTTATGAAGCCAATTACGTTTAATCCTTGATTTTGGATCAGCACCGTAATATCTCAATTTAATCTCGTATCGGATAAATAGATTTTTAAGAACTCCATGAATGGTACGATGCTATTCTTAATTTGAGCTTAATTATTTTAAATTAATAAAGTTATTTGGCCTCTAATCTCATCTGACTGGAACGTGAAAAATCCAGTTGGAAATTATACATGGCTTGTCTCCATCTCCATCTAGTCGAAGGACCAAGGTTTTGTGGTGTGAGCAATGAGCATTACTTAACAAGGCAGAGAAAGCTTGAAACTGGTCATTTGTTTCTTCTGATCCGACTTAGGAGAATCTGGATATTGTGGTGTGAGCAATGAGCATTACTTGAACAAGGCAGAGAAAGCTTGAAACTGGTCATTTGTTTGTTCTGATCCAATTTAGGAGAATCAGGATAGTGGTAGAGAAGTAACATAAAGAAAAAACTAATCAATCAGAAAAAGAACATGATAGATCAGTATGGCTGGGTTAATTTGGATGGTGTAATGATTAAGTAACATAAAGAAAAAGCTAATCAATCAGAAAGATAACATGATAGATCAGTGTGGATGGGTTGATAGGTCATGATAATCAATTGCATCTTCATCATCAAAACCCTGAATCTTATTAACTGATTTGTTTTGTAGGCTTTCAACTTTTGCCGTTCTGCAACTTTACGTCATCCACTTTTTTTTTCTTTCTTTCTTTCTTTTTTTGTAGGATTGATTTCCTTTTTTGTGTGCTTCTGGCTGTGGGAATTGCCATGCTTCTCTTCCTGCAGAGTTCAGAACCAACAGGTATTTGAAGTATTAGCAAAATAAAGAGAAAATAATTTAATGAGGAAGAATCACAACTATGCTTTGTAAGAATTGGAGAGGAAAAATCAATCTTTTGGGACCATAACAAAGAACTTGGCATTTCATCTTTTCTAAATGTCCATAAATAGTGGTTCTTCATGAGATTTCTAAGGGAAGGATTACAAATCACATCCATCTATCTTGAAAGACATAAAAACAATTTCTGATTTACAGTAAGAAGACGAAGACCATGGCCATGAAAACAGGAGGATGGTTTTTGAATGATATTTTATCTTAACTGCAGCTAAAAGTGCTCAAATCAAACATTGTTCTGCCACAAGCTCTGATCACAACTGCATTATACTGATAGTACAAGATATCTCAGCTATACCACTGAAGTTAATAATAGTTTTTGTCAACGATAGGTTAAAGTGCAGGGATTGTGTCAGAATATGCGAGATTGATCTGTTTATGGAACTACATAAACAAATCCAGAGCTGAAGATGAAATCAACCAGAGCTGAAGATTACATCAGTTTCAATTGATTCAATTAAATCCAGTTATCTGAAACCAAGTGGTTTCATCCTGACAAATTTCCACCAAAATTGATGTGTTTTCAGATCCAAGAGCTTGGTATCTTCCAAATCAAAGTAAATAGAGATTCCAAAATCAACTATTTCTTCCTTTTCCTTAAGATTTAGGCAGTTGTTATAAAAAGGTATGCGCTTCGCCTAAAGAAATTCTTAAAATGTTCACTGAAAACTTCAATATTTGAAATTTTAAACATGATGGCTTGTACTTGTTATTTGTGTAATCATATGTTCTACAATTTATAAAGCATGAGAATATTGTTTCTCTTTTAATTGTGAATTATTCCGATATGGTCGTAATCATCGAAAGAAAGCTGGATCAAAACTGATGTCACAATTATGAGAAGTTGTGAACTCCCATGGCCTCTGCCACCACCAGAAATTGTAGGCCATACTTGTGAACTCCCAAATCAGTATGAGAAGTTGGGAAAATTGTTTCACTGCATAAAGTTTTAATATTTTTGAAACTAACATCCTTTTTGTTTTCTGGTGTTGAACTTCTTGTGGCATCTGAATCACTTTCCTAGAGCCAATTGATTTTGAGTTATCAAATAACTTCTTAGTTAGCTTAGCTGGTAAAATTTTTGATGGTTCATCGCAGAGTCTTAGACTCGAATCTCATCTTCGTCACTTATTCTTTACTAAAAGAAAAAAAGGGGGGACTTCTTTATGTGTTAAAACAGTATAAAGCAATGCCACAACCTATCACCATGTATTAGAACCCAAAAACCTTCAAGTCTACTTAAATATAGAGGAAGATAAAAAGAAATGATGTCATTCATCACAACTGGGAGTCTGGAATGGTAGATCAAGAACGGGATGTTAGCATCAGAACGACACTGTGTACACGTCTCCAGGAGGACAATGACCATCGGAGATTTTGAAGACTTTGCATGTAGTCACAGATTCACTGAACTGATCTACCTGTAACTTGAACTTGCAAAGAGGAAAAAAGCTACAAAAAGGACAGAAAAAAAACTTAGTATAAAAAAGAAAGGCTAAGAAACTACTAGGACAGATTCACTGAACAGAATACATGGCGAAGAAGGGTTACATCTCTAAAAGAAGCCTAATCTCAAGGTGAGAATGGCAGCTACATAGATGAAGGAGCACAAACAATACAAGCTAAGAGGAGAATGGCAGAGGCCGTAGCATCTTCTTCCTCGCTGAAGCTACTCCTCTTGAACTTGCAGACCTTTTGCAGCCTCATCACCTCTTGCTTTGGGTCCTTCACCTTCACCTCAATGTCCTGCTTACTTCTCTTCATGGATTCCTGCCTGCTGAACCTGGATTCTTCTACCTTGGACACCATCTTTTGCCAACCCAAATTATAGAGAGCAAAGCTATTTGCTTATGCATGGATAAGAAGTCTACATGGTGGCATTTATAGAGGACTAAATTGAGATGCCGCTGGATTCTCCTCATTCATGAAACTGCCCTTTATCTCCGATGATATTACGACTCTGCAACACCCACAGATAAACCTTGGCTATTTGGACAATTCACTCTCACCATCTTGATTGCAATGGTTGGTTCTACTTGCAGGTCCTGACACAAGCCAGGTTGTTGAACTATGTAGCTGAATTTAGAAGATTCAGAAGATGTTTAATCTGAACTATTGTAGTAATTCTACCTCTCACAAGCTTGAATCCAGAACGTTGCAGTCAACAAATCATTTTGTTTTTGCTCAATGAAAGAGATCATATCGTTAGCAAGCAAACAAAAAAGAAATGGCAAGAGCACATGAGTGCCATGTTATGCTGTTGAAAGAGGAGCAAGGTCATATGACTCTTGTGATCTGCATCAGAAAGTGGTAGGGAAACAATGGAAAATGAAGGCAAAATATGTAGCTTCTAATGGATTCCTAAATGCTTTGCCCCTTTCTATCTCAATCACCAGTTCATCTGTTTGTGGCTACTTTAGCCTCAAGGAGAACTAACTACCTTCATGTGCATTGCCATGTGAGCATGTTGTCTTGTGACCCTACCTAATTGTTGTTCCCTAATAATTACCAACCTTTTATGCTGTAGTCTTTTTCAGATCATAGCTCACCAATAAAACAGATAAAGAAATGATATCCAGGCCTCATTTCTCAAAACCATTTCTTGCATTTCTCAAGCATAAATTATTGCTGCTCTTATGATTCATGTGGCAGGTCTGCAACTAAGTTTGATTATTACAGTCAACAAAGGACCACATCTTAATTATAGAGTTTTAGTCAACAGAAATTTCATCCTATCTCAGAAACATCCATTACCTGCACATGCATAGGATCTAACATCAAGAGTCTCATGTCTCTGTAGCGCATGAAAGGAGCCCATAGTTGAGTGAGTGGTATGATGCCATAATCCACAACACTGAGAGAACGAATGAATGAATGGGGTGTAGACCACTGAGAGAACAAGGACACAGTGGTGGGTTCCAAAGCTTTTGGCTTCATGTCCCACTCACATGTCATGCATATGAGCTCTCACGTCTTTTGTGGAGGTCCACGGCCAAAGCCACATGGAAGCTGAAGGTATGGGAATGGACTGTGGTCTCCACCTTACAGTCACACACCCCCTGGAGTATGTTTCGGTGCATCCTCAATGCTGTATGGTATCAGTCTGACGAGAGAAAGAATTCCTAGTATATTTGTTGACTGTTATACCTAGTGCAATAGCATGAACTGGCACCAGAATAATTGAAGTTGCCAGTTGGAGATTCAAAGAGTATCATCTGCAGGAAGACAAGCAATGATGGTGTTGTTTTGTTATCTGAATTCATCAGCCTATTGGTGTCCAACTCCAATTATTGTCAGTCATTCATGCAGAAATCACAACGAGAATTCACTGACAATGGGCTTCTTTTACAGTTCATTTCCTGAAGCAGTTGCGTCATCGACCTGATCCTTGCAAAGAAAACAATGTATGTCAAAGCTTCGATGTTGTGTTCATTATGTAGGAGGAAATATATACATGGTAGGTAGAAGAATGATGAACGATGCATCAAAAGATAGCTTCAGAATCTTTTACCAACAACACAGGCACTCAAAAACTGGCAAAACAAAAAAAACATGAACACACAACTGGCTTTTGAATGCATGTGATATATGAATGCATTCCATTAAAACATGAACAACCATTGGATGCGTGATTTAATTGGTACTCTGATGTTAGGGAATGAGGTGGGTGGAAGAGTCGGAGTAGTTAACGAATCCCCACTCGGTCTTGCATCATGACTTACTTTGGATTCACTAAATGTGCTTCTAATCTATATTAATATAGATTAATATTGGATGAGATTTTCGATATGGTCTCTCTGATAATTGTATCCTTTAATCATTTTCGGTGAAGAGGAATATTATGTGTAATAAAAAATATTCTCTATTCCACTTTTGCTAACGTGGTAGGG